TGCCCTGGACTGCCAAGAAAAGCTGTGAAGGCATTCAGGAAGCAGATAAGATCCTGAGGGGAAGCCTGCGTAGGAGCAGGTGGCATGTCCCACCACCTGCCTGACCCACTCTCCTGCCTTCTTCTTTGTGGGAATGACAGGAACCTCTCCCACTGGGCTCCTGCTAGACTCATACCTGTGACCAGAGTCACGGCAGCAGCATCTGACCCCGCGGTCACACATGCAGACTCTTATTTTGTTGTATCAGCCAATGGTTCCAAAGCAAGATCCAGCTTCGGGGGATGGAGCAGGCATGGCTGATGGGAATGATGTGTGTGTGTGTGTGTGTGTGTGTGTGTGTGTGTGTGTGTGAATATTGCTGGCCTGGAGAGGGCAGAATGCCCAGTCAGGGGATAGGTGGTCCTCTAGCATTCTGGGATAGGGGTGGGAAGGAGAGCAGGAAAAAGAGGAAGACAGAGAAAGACGCCTGTGAAAAAGGATACATGGACTTCAGTCCGACTTCACCAGTGTTGTCATTATGCTAGCAAGTCGGAGAGTCCCTCAGGGGTGAACCAAATCTCAGTCCCATCCCAAGACAGTGTTGAGATGCAGTGAGGGTCATCTCCTCTCTACCTGGATCTGTCATTTGCTACTGCCTTAACTCCTTTTCTTAAAACAAGGGTTTGGAAATGCTGTGCAGAGACCCTGGCTGGCAGAAAAGGAGGCTTCACCTTACACAATAGTGTTATTCTGAAACATTGTGAATGAAATAAGCATTTGCCATGGGGCACACGCATTTGGTATATTGGAAGATCTGCTATTAGCTATGAAATTCTTAAGTGGTCTGTATTAAAGCCACACTGTCATGCCGTCCCCTCCCCCATCCTCCCCCCCCCTCCCCTGCCATGACTGCACCTTGAGTGTTCATAGCTGCCTGTCAGCACCAGATCACAATGGTGAGAGGCCAGGCAGGGACTCAGGCTGTGCATTTGGTCAGATGGTAGGGGCCACAGTGGGCCAGGGCCTGCAGGTACTCAGAGAGACTCTCCGGGTGGGCCTCTGGGCACCTTTCAGGTAGTCAAGCGCCATACGCACTGCTCTTCCCAGAGCCTCCACATCTCTTCTCCCATTCTCTTCCTTCTGTGACTGTGGGGCTTGGCAGTTTTCCTTCCTTCCCTAGATAGGATTCTCACCTCTCCTCTGAACTGTGCCTCTTCTAGCATATGCCAACAAAGCTCACCTGTGCAGAGTGTTTATTGTTATTAGTGAACTTGCCCATCTTTTGTCCCTTTGTATCCTCACAACATCTCAAAAGGATTGAAATGATCTGTACTTAGGGGAAAAAGAAATGGAGGCACAGAGAGGCCACATGGCTTGTCCTGATGCTGAAATTCAGGTAGCCTGATCCCCCAGTCCTAGTACTTTCTAGTCTCTTCTCTGTGCGATGGGGCTACATGTTGACCCACCCTCAGGCCCTGGTCGCCACCTTTGTGCTTCAGTGACTTCCCTGGGGTGGGGGGTGAGGGACCCACGCCTCATGAAATTCTAAGGGAGGAGACAGAACTGCTATTTTTTAACGTATCCTTATTTTAGAGTCTCAAGTGTTCTCAGTGCACACATTCTGGATTCTTAGAAAGGGATTATTATTTTGAAAAACCCCCAGATATCACCGTCTCTGGAAAGCCCAGCCATGCTCTTTCCTCCTCACTTATCCAACAAGAAGCACGTTAGCATATACTCCCAACACACACACACACACACACACACACACACACACACACACACACACACGCGCGCGCGCGCGCGCGCCCGTCCACTAGGCCTTCTCTGCTGTAGCTGGGTCCCCTCTGCACATCTCAGTACTGCTGTCAGTCACCATGGTTAGGTGGGCAAACACCAGGTAGCATATGGTCATTTACAGTGCTGTCACTAGTGCAGGCTGCTGCTTCGGCTGACCTCACAAAGAAGACCTCTAGCTTCTTGAGCATAGAAAGAAAGCTGAGAAGTCAGGAAGCTGTTGCGTTAGTTGCTGGGTCCACCTCTGGCATGATCTACTTCAGGAAACCCTCCCAGGTGTATATATGGTTGGCAGGACCTGAAATCACATCCTGAACCAGGCTGCGAGGGAGTCTGGGAACTGTAGTTTTTCTCTTTCCGACCAGTACACCCTCTGTTTCAGGTCTAGGCAGACAAATGCCCAGTCAATCCCCAGTATCGACCATATTTCCCCATGTATAAGACGCACCCTTTTTTGAAAAATTTTGGGTCTAAAAACTGGGTGTATCTTATACAATGGTTGTATGAGCACAAAAACAAGCACGAAAAAAGCAGAAATGCAAGTAAAAAAAAATCTACAACCGCTGTATAAGACGCACTCAGTTTTTAGACCCCACATTTTTCAAAAGGGTGCGCCTTATATATGGGGTGTGTGTGTGTGTGTGTGTGTGTGTGTATTATATATATATATATATATATATATATATATAATTGCAGAAAGAAGACAAGTCTTCAGTGTTTGATTCCATTAGTACAAAGTTCTCTAGCTTAAAAAGTGATGTTGAGGGACCGGGTCTGGGACATTGCAGAATGTGGCTCAGACACTAAAGGACTTTGTGCCAATCACCCATGGCTTCAGCGTCAGGAGGCCTTGGTTCTTAAGAAGGTAGGAACTCAGCCTACTAAACTTTCTCTCCTTTACATTTGCTCCATGGACTAAACTACTGGAAGAACTTACCAGGTATTTTGGACATGATAGTTTAGGTAGTGCTGGGTGCTAAATAGCCCAGGACTATCAGTGGCTTGACATTAAAATGACTAGGGTTCCCATCTTGTTCATGCCACCTGCCCAGTGCTGGCAAGTCAAGGATTTCAGAGTGATCCAGAGACTTGGGCTGACCAAGGCTCCATCTTCACGCTTGCTCCCACATGCCTTCCTGGCAAGGCAGGAAATGCAAAATGCGACCAACTGCACACTTGTTTCTGCAAAGAAGGGGCATGGTGCTTACACTCACACTTCATGAGCCAAGACAAGTCACACAGCTCGCCTCACTCCAAAGGGTAGAAAGTCTAATCCTTTCCTGTGTCAGAAGGCCCAGAGAAACAAAATGTGGCAAACAGCACTAATTCCCTCCAGCAGGAGGTGGAGGGGAGAGCTGTGCCCCTTATATCCTCCTGTTTCCTTCATCCATCCAGCTGGAATAACTTACGTTCCCCTAGTGCCATTATTCTTTTCCTCCCAGCAATGAAAATTTCAACTTTAAAGACACAGATAATATTTCTACTTGAAAATGGCCTGTGAAAAACCAGCAGTCCCCAGAGGCAAAATTCTAACCAGGCTTTTTCTCAAATACATCAGTGGTTCTCAGTCTGTCATGATTTTGTGGGCTAGGAGTGCTGTGTGTTTATCTTTCTTGAATTATTGGGTTGTCGGAAAAGTCATGACGTATTTTTTCCTGTTTTTCATTGCAAAAATGCATCATGACTTTTCCGACAACCCAATAGAAAAGAAAGACCATAGGCAGAAGATGAAGATCCCAGGTTTCTCAGGTTCATCTCAAGTGCCCCACCCCAGGCTTTCTCTGACCTTCATGTGCCCCTACTTTGCCTGCACACCCCCACCCTAGGGCCTGTCCTGGTACCTCGTTGTGTTGTCCATGTTTATACAAATGTCTCCCTCCCCCCACTAGGCTGTGAGCCCTTTGAGAGCAGGAGCTTGACTGGGTCCATCTAGAATTGTCCCTACTGCACAGATGGCCTTCATTAAGTAGTTTAAAATGGCTCAGTGAATGAATCTCTATCTTTAACTTAGAGCCTTATCTGGAGGAAGTTCTCAGTGTCTTCTGAGTGAAAGAAAGAATGGATGGATGGACAAATTAAAGAATAAAGACTTGAATATGTACAGAGGCCAGTTAACATCTCATAGGGGAAATAAACAAGCCTCTTCTCCCCAGAGAGCTCTGCTAATTCTGACTCGCTAACACAAATGTAGGCTCTCGGAACAAAGGGGACAAGTGGAAGTGGAGATGACTCAGGGCCACCTCCCCCCACTCTGCAAACTGAGGCCCAGGCTCTGTTACGGCCAGCAGTGTCCCCTGTACACAGTTAGATTCTGGTCATGATTTAGCTTTCAGTGCCAGGGCAGGCTTGCCTGGAACAGTGGTGTAGGGTGCCGCTCTTCGTATCTAATGACTTCCTTGACCCCAGTTGAGTGGTGTGGTGGGATGGAGTCACAGGACAGTGGGGTCTCTAGGGATTCCTGCCTCGGAGACTGCCAAGACATGCCTCTGCTTCCCAGGCTGAGGCATGGGATCCCCTCAGGTCCCCAGAGCCTGCAGAAGGTTAGTAGGCTGAGGTAGTGAGAGCCAGAGGGACAGCCCCAGAGAAAGTGTCCTTCAACTGTCCCCTCAGCCATTGAGAGGAGCCTCAAGCACCATTTCCTCTTTCTCTGGAGATAGGAAAAATGCCAACATGGAATTCCTGTGCTTCACAGAGCTCTCCAGGGTGGTATCTTGAAGAAGGGAGGAAAGACAGGGGCAGGTGGGCAGAAAGGTGGTGCATTGTCCAAGTGGCAACGGGGTGGTGGGACTCACAGACTCTCCCTTTCTTCTAAAATAAAAAACCCCGAAACTTCACTTCCCTCTAGTCCTTCCCATTTTTCCTTCCACTCAAAGGCATAGAGCTCACACAGCGGAGAACTGGTGTCTCAGCTGGGCTTGGCGCTGGAGTTAGAGGCTACGCTTTACCTTGGCCTTCCTTTGTCCTCCTTTTTGTGAGAAAGAGAAATGTGTGGATGCAAAAGGGGGCCCAGAGGTTTGGGGACCATCTCCAATCCCGGGTGGCAGGGGCCGGTGCTCCATGCGGGCAGCCTGGGTAGTCGCTGTGCTTTGACAGGTCAAGGGCATGTTATAGGTGGATGTCATTATGGGCAGCCAAGTCCTCTGCCCAAGGTGCCACCAGGAAAGCCAGGGAAGAACCCAGCCCCTCTCCCTCAGCCTTCCATGGAATGATGCTCTGTGGCCAAGTGGGTACCAAAGGATAAATGCTGTATTAACATGAATTCTAATGACAAACGCACTACAGTAGTAAGCACATTACAGATACATAGAATATTCTGTATATAGTCTGAACATAGATATAAAATAAGTTACACTTGTCTTTGTTTTCCATCAGAGGAGAAGCATAGCACACAAAGTGACTGGTTCAGTGGCCATAAAGCAAGCCAAAGGAGACCGTGATGGAGGGAGCGGGGCACTGAACATGGTGGACATTTTCCAAGGACACCACAGAGATGCTGAGGGTCCTGCAGGGAATGCCACCTCAGACCCCTCAAGTTGGCTCTTTGAGAATCCACACGAGGTCCCACTTGATAGAGTCGGTGGCTGCATTTGAGCTGGGATGATTCAGGCTATGGGTGGGAGGTGGGGGAGGCACAGACATGGACAGCATCCAGCAGGCAGGCCCACTCTCTCGCTGGTGCTGTTGGACTTCTGTGAATTCAGGAATCTGGGGCACATGGCCAGAAGGCACGGTTTGCTTCTGTGATGTGACAGGTGGCCAGACTGATGATGGCGCACCAAATGCTGGCTGGCCCTTCTCCTGTGTCAGCCTGCTTTGGAAGGCAGTGAGGGGCCTGCATGCTCAGCTTCCTCTCCCTGATTTGTCCTCAGCCGGCAATGCTGGGGTCCTGCACACACCATCACAGAGGAGGAAAGAGGGTGGCCCTGGCTCTGAATCCTCTGTCCATCACGTGTGACCCATGGGACTTCGTAGCCACTTAAAACTCTGGGTCTCAGGCTCTTCATCTGAAATATGGGGGAGGGGACTAATGCATAGTCCCTTGGCGAGTGCTGAGGGCCACATGGGGTGATGTCTATTTAAAAGTGTCTAAGAGAACTCCTGGCACACAGGAGGGGCAAGAGGAATGTGAGTCGATTCTGAGCATCCACACATCAGAGGGCAGGAGGAAAAACACACGACTCTCACAAAATCTGTGCAATAAAACCACCCTGACTGGCTTTGAGGAGAGGATGACAGGATAGTTTCTTTGCTTTCTTTCCTGCCGGTATTTCCTCCTCTACCGCCCTCACTGGGATTCTTTGAAATGAATTGCCAGCAGGGTTCAAAGCCAGGTTTGCTGAGACAGACAGAGCCTAAGTCTGGGAAAGAGCAGTTCAAGTCTGGAACCTGGTTCCTCGAGGGTGTTCCCCCCTCGCCTTTCTCCCCTGCCATAGCCCCCTTCCTGCACATCTGAGCTTGGAGCAGATTTCCTCTTAGGAAGCCAAAGAGGGGGAGAAAGCTCAGAAAACCAAGTGAATTGCCTATTAAGCAAAAAGCTTTCCCATCTCCTCCGAATCTGGGGAATCTGGAGGAGGGTGGGCCATCTGTGTGCCGATGAACAAACTGCCTCAAGGGTAGAAGGCAGATCTCTGGGCAGTGGAAGATGAGTGGGAGAGGGGGATGGAGACCAGGCTCGAAACCTGGGACCCTGGGCATGCTCCTGTGCTTCTACCAATGCTGTGTCCAAACAAAGATCTGCCTGGAAACCTGGGGACCACTGTCCCCTTTCATTTCGGTGCAGCTCTCAGGATCTGTGCCTGTGTGTGTGTGTGTGCGCGCGCGCGTGTGCATGTGCGTGTGCGTGTGCGTGTGTGTGTGTGTGTGTGTACGATCTCCTCTCCCATCTCCTATAACACCAGAACTTCCCCCTGTTCCTCTCACTGGGAAACTTTCCTTTTAGATGGGGGCAGGAGGTGGGCGGGCAGCTCGCTGGGCAGCTCATGGCCCTCCAGCTTGACCTTGATGAGGTGGTTGGCCAGTGCAAACTCCTCGTCATCTAGCATGCCGTCCTTGTCGATGTCCGCCAGCTTCCAGATCTTGCCCAGCACGCTGTTGGGCAGCTTCGAGCGTACCATCTCCTTCTTGGCGTTGGCGCCCGTGATCTTGCCGTCCACCGGTGACAGAGTATAGAAGATCTCATCGTACATAGGCTTGTCCCGGGCTACCACCCACTCAGCGTCGTCGATGCCCTCCTCGGCCCCCTCCCCATAGCCGTGGCCAAAGGGGCCACTCAGGGTGCCCTCGAACGCTCCGCCCTTCACCGTCTGGGCGGGCTGCTGCGTCTCCTCCTGGCGCACCAGCACCATGAGCTGGGCAATGTCGCTGGCCAGCATGTCGTCTACCACCTCCAGCAGCTTGCTTTTCAGGGGCTGGAATTTGCTAAAGTCCTGGGCCTGCAACTGGTCCTGGGAAGAGGGACAGAAAGGAAGGTGAGAACAGAGGCAGTGGAAGGAGATCCTTCCCCTAGATGGGGAGGCTGCCTTCGACTAACGTGGGGATGTTCACAGTCCTGTGGCTTAGAGGCTAAGCTGATCCACATCACACAGTAATAACACACATGAGAGAGGAGGTGAAATAGGCACATGTGCTCTTGGTGGAATGTTTTTAGGAGTAGAACTGTTGCTGGGGAAGAAAGGAAAACTTAACAAATATTGGTCTGATCTGTTTATTTGGATTACTTTTAATGTTGTTCTAGAAAGCAAATAATTGAATTTCTCTTTCAGTTAATTTTGGCTATTGAACAGTGGTTCTTGAATGCTATGCCCCTCTGAGACAGGCACGTGGGTCTCTCTACTTTAACAAGGGTTAAACTTTAAAAACACAAAGTACTTTCACTATATTATCTCTTTTCCTCCCCCCCAGTGCTCTGCTGAGGCAGGAAAAATCACATTCTATCCATTTTAGGGAAGGAAAAACTGAGACATAGGTAACTGAAAACAAATCATAATAGAAGCCAAAGGTCTTCCCCAAACCAGTGGTTCTTAATCAGAATGCTCACGGAATTACCTGGAGAGAGTTTTTCAAACATCAGCTCCCCTCTCGAAGTTTCTGACACGGTAGACCTGGGCAGGCATGTGGATTTTGTAAAAGCTCCCCTCCTGGCCTTCCTACGACACCCCCGCCACACGGTAAGAGAAATAGGCTCCGCATTGCACGTCTGTGTGATTTGGAAAGGTCTTGAGTCTAGAACACCCAGCTTCTCCTTGGCCTCTACAGTGACAAGGTGAGAGCTTTCCACTCCTGCCCTGGCTCTGGTCACAGCAATCTCAGGACCCTGGGCAGAGGCCAGTGCACTGGAGACAGTGTCAGAGACAAGCACCTTGAGTTCACTGCAGAACAATTCCCAAAACACCCACAGTTACACTTCAAGAGCAAGTGTTAGCTTGGGCATGTCTCACCTCTCTCCCAGGGCATGGCTGAACCAGAGAGACGGTGGGGGCTGCGAGGAGGGTAGGAGCAGACAAGCCGTTTCTCCTGCCCTCAGGGTCTAACCTCCCAAGATCCCTTGCATCTCTCCCAGCTTGTTCACTTCCTGGTGTGTTTGGTGGGTTCCCAAATAGGCATCCCAATATCTTCCAGGGGGCACAGTGGGTGCTCCCACCACCCCCACCCCACCCCCGCACCCATGGCCCCACAGGACGGCCCTTTACATTATTGATTCAGCATACCGAAACACAGAACCTAATGTAGGGATGGCAAACAAATGAGAAGGTGAGATCATGCATGTTGAGAAAGGACTCCTCACATTAAAAAAGGGGTCATATGGTTCCTTTCAAATGTCACCTTCCCAAATGCTTACTTATAGATCATTAAATTCTTAACAGAAGAGAAACTAAAAATGTTCCATGCCATAGCTGTCGAGACACCCAAATTATGTTAAAGGAATTCTGACGTTAGTGACTGGCTCATGGTAGGTGGTTATAGAAGAATGAATGGATATACGAACAAACACATACTTTAAATGTCTATTTCTTTCTTTTTATTTTACCAGATAGGAAACTAAAAATGCCTAGTTGGGACTATAATGATGTTCTGAACCCCTAGTCTTAAACTGAGAAACTGATTCCCAAGCTAAAGATGAAAATCAGCACCAAGAGCAAAATCAATATTATTACCACATCGGCTGTTTCTTTTTCTCGAATTCCCTAATTTTTAAAAAAACTTTTTATTTTGGATTAATTATAGAATCATGAGAAGTGGCAAAAATTGTATGGAGAGGTGGGTCCCTCGTGCTCATCACTCAGCCTCTCCCAGTGGTGACATCTTACCTAACTTCCACTGAATTTTAAGGGCACAGTCTGTACCAGGCTCTGTGCTAAGTGCCTTGTGAGTATTATCTCACTGATGCTCAGTATCCATATAAGGCGGGTGCTTTTGGAGCCTCAGTTTACAGATGAAGAGACAGAGGCTCAGAGAGGATCCAGTTAGTATGGTGTGGTGCTTTCTTGCTTGGACTGTGGGGACCGCTCCTGGCTTTTCTACTGGCAGCCTATGTGACCACTGCATTCATAACACTGAGGGCAAATTAACTGCAAAGGTTAATTAGCTTTATAAACCTTAATTTGCTCATGTATAAAGGGAGGATAATAAGGCTTCCCTTAGAGGATTGCTTTGGGGGATAACAGGTCAAATCATGTGTGACAGTCCCTGACCCAAAAGAGGGGCCCACAGTGTGCCCCCAAAGGTGGCAAGCTCCTGTGTGGACTCCTCTGTGCCTGGTGTTCCCAGTACCTCCCAAGTGGGAGCTCAGAGGTCAACTTAAGCACTCGAGGGCCTGGAGAACCTCTGTCAGAGCACTGGTACCATTTTACATGACATGGTGGGGAGTCCAAGCCTGTGGTGGCTGTGACTGGGGAAGATCATAAGCTAGAGGTATCAGGCCCCAAACATCATGTGACACCCCTGCCCCTCCAGGAGCACTGGGGCTCTGTGTTTCTCCCCAGGCCCACAGATGACAGACACCCTCTGGGCCAAAGACAGTTCAGCAGGGAGGACAGACATAGGGTCATCTCCCTGCCTTCCGACTCTGGGTTCCGTTTCCATCCCGGGGATCCAGGGTGGCCTCCTCCATACTCAGGCTGCTCAGCCAGCTTGTTTGACCCTGATTACCTGCATCCTCTTCAGGTTGGGAAAGTCCCCAGGTGAGATCTGGTGCTCCCGCTCGATCCGGCCGTAGATCTCAGCCAGGTTGTTCACCAGCTCCTTCTTCTTGTTGTCTTTCCCGAACACCGAGGGCATCTCTTTCTTCAGAGAGCTGATAATGTAGGCATGGACCTGAGAAACCGGGGCGGAGGGAGCGCTTCACATCAAGACCCTTGGTTCCTCCCTTCCCTCTAGGTGGCTCTCACCCATCTCTCCCCAGAAACGTCTCCTCCTCCTGCTCCTATTTCTGAAACAGTTCTTAGCTCCACGTTCTTGCTCACACGGCTTGCAGCGCTGGGCTGTCTTTCTAGGTTTCACGGGAAAGGTGAGACGGTGGGGGGTTAAGGTCAAGGCAGTAATGGGGATAGTAATACTAGAGATGATGTTGATAAGGAAGACAGTAACGACAGCTAACACTTACTGAACACTTCGGCGGACACACGCACAGTGATTAGGGCTTTTACATTCTCTGTTCAACCCTATCCGCCAATCTTTCATTTTACAGATGTGGAAACAGGCAGACTGAGGGCCTTGCTGGGTTGGGATCACAGTTAGTAAACAGTGGAGTCGGGCTCTAATCTGGTCATCTGACACCAGGGCCTATGATCGTAACCCCTGCCCCGTGGCTGCCAGGGTTGGCACGGCTGATGTTCCTGAGACAGTGGCTACAGTATGGTGTCCTGTGGGCAGGCAAGCACAAGGTTGCAGGCAGCAGCCCTCAGCTCTCGCGGCTGATTCCACCACCCGAAACCCTTGGTGCCACCCAAACTGCCCATCTCCCTAGAAGCAGCCTCACCTTGGCCAGCCTGGCTCTCTTGATGAGGTCATTGAGCTTGCGCAGGGCAGCATTTCGGGGCAGACTCTGGATGTCTCTGAACAGGTCCTTCTCCTCAGCCTCAAAGAGCTTCCGGTTGTCAGGGATGAGAAGGGGGTGGGACCAGAAAGAGCCAATGTAGACCCGGATCACCTCTGGGGTGTTCACTATCTTCCCCAGGGACCACATGAGGGCCCCGTACACCCGCATCAGCTGCTGCGTCTCGATCTGGTCGGCCTTGTTCAGCACCACCCGCATCTTGTCCTCGTGGTTCTTGAGGGCCTTGATGACTTCTGAGAACTCATCAGAGATGTCCAGCTTGTGGGCATCAAAGAGCAGGATGATGCGGTCCACCCGCTCAGCGAACCACTCAAGGACGGCAGCAAAGTCATACCCTGCCGGCAGACGGACAGTCAGAGGGAGGGGCCTTTGGAGCACAGGGAAGCGGGTTGGGGAAAGGCACCAGATGCAGTAGAAATAACACAGTATGGGAGTCAGATGTGGGTTCAAATCTAGACTCCTCCATATTTTCATTATTTGGCCTTGAGCAAGTTACTCCGTGTCTCTGAGTCAGTGCTTTTTCATCTGTAAATGGGCATACTAATAGTACCTAACTAGAAGAATTATGAAGACTAAATACACTTGGATCATAGCACTTAGTAGCTGCTCAATAAATGCTAATTATTATTAACATCATTATTCCTATTTAGCCTTTTCATTCAAGGAAAGGGGCCCTCTTCATTAAGGGTCAGGGCTCAGGAAAGTGCTTTGGGGGTCAGGCTCTGCCCAGTAACGAGGTAGGTGCATTGTCAGTGCCACCTAGAGATGGTCACACAAGACCGCCCTCCTGTAGAAGGCAGCTGGTGGGGCATGATACCTAACCCCAAGTTCAATGCTTGCTCTGGCTGTCAGATGTTCATGTCATGAACTCATTTCACCCTCAACAACCCTCTAAGGTAGGCAGGATGAAGACTCTCATTCCCACCCTTCAGAAGAGGAAAAACTAGGTTCAGAGATGAGGTGAGAGTCAAACAGCTGGCAAGGGGCGGGCCCAGGACTGGAGGGGCCAAAGGGCAGCCGCCATGCACCTGGCCACCTGCCTGTCTCCCTGCCCTCTCCTCTCCTCTCCTCTCCTCCCCAGCAGGAAAGCCCGGCCAGCAGCTCCCACAGAGCCCAGGAGGCCCAGTGTACTCCTGCTCTAGGTGGGCCTGCACCTGCACCTGCACTCCTGCTCCCCTCCGCTCCCCAGGGATGGCTCCTGGATATTTTTAATCTTCCCTTCAGCACAGCCAGGTAGAGAGCTGCTCTCACCTCCCCAAGGCAGTCCCTCGGAGCTGTGGTCAGGATGAGGACCAGAGGACTCAGAAAAATCAGGACAACCTGATCTCCCAGCCCCAACCCCCACCCCAGAAAACAGGTCACAGCTTCACAGCAAGCTGGCCCTCCTCACAGCTGGGGAGGGCAGCAGGGTCCAGGCCTCTGGAATTCTGCTGAGACCTATTCCCAAATCTGGCCCGACAAGGAGTTTAGCTGAGGCGTGCAGGCCGTGAGGAGGGCCGCCGGGAAGAGCACACTACAGCTCTCTCCATCACATGTGGAACAAACGTCAGCCCTCAGCACTCACCACGTCAGCCGCTCATAACTGGCTGGGCGGTCAGAGCAGCCAGCACTGGGCACTTCACTGACAAGGAAATGAAGGCTCCTGGAGGGTGAGACGTGCCAAGGGCCATGCCGCAGTGGGGTCAGAGCCAGGGCCAGGACTCAGGCCTTCCAAACCCAAGTCTGCCCCTCTAGCCACCCATCCAAGAGCTGGGGAAAGCAAAGGGGCCAGAGAAGCTGTAGAGAAAAGAGTTCCCACCCCCAACCTCTCTCCAATCCCTGATGGTACCAGCCACACAAGAGGATGTCTGGGCTATGAAGGCTTGGAGGGGAGCAGGAGCAAATCCCAGGAGCCTGACCAGCCCCCAACTCAGGGTGGAGGGGAGAGTGATAGCACCAGGTCAGTGAAGCTGGAACGGGATAGCCCCTTGCCTGTTCCTGTCCCCATGGCTGGATCAAGTGCCCTGAGTGTTCTTGTGGACTTGGAGAGATGCTCCCTTTGCTCTCCCACAGACATTGTCAGGATAAGTCATCCCCCCAGGATACTGGGAGCTGGGCAGGGCAGGGCTGCTCTCAGCTTTCCCCACTTCCCTTGTGCCTAGCACAGTGCCTGGCACACAGTAATGCTCGGTCAGTATTTGCCAAACAAAACTGAAATGTGGGCTCTGTTCTGCTTTTTACATCCAAAGGATAGTGAACAAGCCACCTCTGGGCCTGTTTCCTGGTCTCTGAATTGGAACCCACCAGATGCTGCCACAGGGTCACTGTGAGGGTCCAAAGAAGAGGATGCAGGTGAAACTGAATGTGACCTTGGCTGTTCCTATTGCTTCCTCCCTTTTATAAAGAGCTCCTTCCAAGAGCCAGTTTCCATGAAATGGGTGTGCTCTCAAGAGGTTGCCTGAGGAGGACTGACTTGGGAAAGCCCACTTGCTCAGCCATTAACTTGCTGTGTGTCCTTGAGCAAGCACTTGCCCCTCCCCAGTCCTTGGTTTCTTTGCCCGTCAACCTAGGGGTCTGAACTGGAAGATCTTTGAGCTTCCTTTCTCAGTTCACAATCTCCTGCTTCTGTGACTAGAGGTGTGAGGGTGAAGAGTACAGCAGGATGGATGGAGATTAGACACAAGGAAGTCTCTGCACAGGGAGAAAGAAGTCTGGGATCACTGTCTTAAATGCCTCGGGTTTCTCTATGAACTCTGCTCCTGCCTGAGGACAGCAGATGGCTTCTGGGAACCCTTTCGAGGACTTTATAAGTGCAGAAGCCCCCTATTCATGTTCCTACTTTTGCAAATTCTGCATGCTCCGGCAGGCTGCTATCACATGACAGAGTGAGTAATGCCAGGCACTTTCTCCCAGATGTGGCTGTAAGGGCCCTGAGAAGCAAGCAAGGACTCCATGGGTCTCCTCTGAAGCTCGGACTCCTGCTTCTGGCTATTCAGAGCCTAGCAGCTTCCAGGATTAGTATTTAATTGTTTCCTGGACTCGGCTTATGCACATCCAGGAATGGGAGCATCTGAAAGGCACAGCTGGGCCCACTAAGGAAAAGGACATGGGACTAGCTCTCCCATTTATTTTCTGTGTGGCCTTGGGCAATTCTGAACCTCGGTTTCCTCAGCTGTAAAATGGGGATGCTAATGGCTGACTGGTAAAGGGTCAGTGGTACAGTCATGGCAACAGGATCCAATGGCGAAGGATCCAACAGGACACCCAGTGACAGGGCCCCTTTCCCTCGCTGGTCCCAGGGATGGCTCTCAGACACACAACAGGAGCTCTTGAGCACCTGCAGCAGCTCCAGGGCAGTGGTTGGGGGAGATGTGAGCCCCAGGAGACTGAGGGCAAAGCCAGCCTTCCTGGAATTGCTTGTAGCAAGTCTGCTGGCTCAAAGAGATCTGGTCTGCAGGCACCAGGCCCAGAGACTGGGCAGCCTGCAGGGACCTGAGGCTCTCCCCACTGCCCCCCAGGCTCCAGAGGACTGGAAAGAAAGCATTTCTAAGTAATGCCAGGCAGGAGGAAATCTATGAGACAAACACAATAAGCAAGGCAATTCCTTCATCACCCACTGGCCTCCTTCACAGTCTAAGGTGAGGTGCAAAGGACAAGGCAGAGCAGTTCTGTGTATTTTCAGCCACACAGTCTCGTTTGATCCTCATGACTCTGCACATACCAGGAGGTAAAGAGGGCACACAATCTTACAGGGAAGGGAAGGGGAGCAGAGAGGTTAAGGGGCTTGCCCAAGCCCACATAGCTCCGAGGTGGCAAACGTGGGACTAGAACCCAGACGCTTGACTCCTGTCCACAGTCCCTTCTTACTCACAGCCACGTACAAGGCTGGAGCTCAGAGGGCTGAGCCCTCCAGCCAGGCACTTACCTGTGGTAGGTACTTAGAAGGTCCTGTCCTGCCTCTCCCCATCCCCCAGCATCTCTTTCAAGATTTAAAGACATTTTAGCAAGCAAGAAAGAAAAAGGCACCCATTTCCACAATGTGGGAGGAGTTCAGATGACAATAGGGAACTGTGCCACACTACATGCCTCCCAGAAGTGGCCGAACCGACTCATCACAGGCCTCCAGTGACCACAGGCTGTCAGCGAGCTCTTTTGAAGGGTGTCGGGGCTCTGCTGCTCTGCCCTGGAGCAGGATGCCCACACAGGCACATAGAGAGGGTGCCAAAGAAATGTATACACTCTTTAAGATAACATCTCTTAAAATGTGTATACATTTTTCAGGCCTCCCCACTCCCCCCCCCCTGCCCCTGGGTACATGCAGCACATAGTCGGAAGCCCCAGAGGGGCTTGCTCCAGTGAGGGTACCAGGGACGGGCCAGGGTGTGAGGCTGCGAGGATCAGCCCAGACCCTCCGAGGTCCCCCAAGAGGAGATGCATAGATGACTTTGCCCTCACTCCTACTCCCTGCCCTCTTCCTGGGCAGGCGATGAAAATGTGCTGCAAAGCCAGTGGACTGGGATTCGGAAGGCCAGAGTTCCCACTCCAGTTTGGGGACCTGGGCAAGGCTTTTACCTGTTGTGGCCCTGCTAAGCTCACTTGTACAGGAAGGGGTCCACTGGGAGGGATGTGAGCTCCATGCTCAAGGGGTTGCTTTTCTAAGGTGGGGCCTTGTGGGGATTTCTAGCTGAGAAGCAGCCGGGAAATATGGTTCCCACATGTGAGGACACTCAGGCTTCCGGAGCCCCCCCACTTCAGCTGCTTCCTTGCTCCTTCCCAGTAATGAGCCCTGGGCTGGGCATATCCTGTTATTTCCAGGAACTGCCTCCCAGTCCCTCTGCTGCCCACCCCAATGCATCTTCATCCAGGGACAAGTGCTAGCCTGCGACCTCCCAGGCTCAGGTTCCTACATGTCCCTCGCTTCCTCTCTCCCCCGTAAGACACTTATCCCCAGGCCCCCGCAGAGGGGCCACTCCCTGAGCAAGGACCACACTTTGCCCAGTGCTGGCCTGGGGCCTGAGTGTTCCTTCCCGTGAAGCCTGAGGCCTGAGGAGCCCTTGGGAACGGCTCACTTTCCAGAATGTGACATACTGGGCCCAATGGCTGAGAGGAGGCTCTGTGCAGATTTGATAATGGTGCCCTTTTTTTCTGGTGAGACAGCCCTTTCAGGCATGAGGCTTGACCAGAGAGGAACGTGGGCTGGATTTCAGCTCTACATGCCCCTCAACTGGGTTGAGGGTTCTGTCCTGCCCTAGGCTGGCAGAAAGAAGGGAAGAAGCCCAAACCTGTGCTGCAAACAAACTCAGAGCTCCGAGGGCCCCAGGCAAGAAGCCATATAAAGTGCGTTTGGTTCTGTGCACACATCTGTGTGTGGGAGGGTGTGTGGAGGGAGGTGTGTGTGTGTGTGTGTGTGTGTGTGTGTGTGGATGTGTGGGTATCTATGTGTGTAGGTATCAGCTGGAGCCCCCAGAATCGAAGGCTGATTGTGAGGAAGGAGGAGGAGGAGGTGAATGCTGGAAACTTTCCCCATCTGAGGTCCCCCTGACAGCTGAGACTGTCTGATGCCCCCTCCCAATTTCCCTGGCCTCCTTGGAGAGCTGAGGTTAGCACTGCCCCAGGCTGGTGATGCAGTGCAGGCAGCCCAGCTCTCAGCTCTTGTTTTTATCACAGGCTGCTTCTGCCAGGAACTGCATTTATAGTCTGGATTCAGAAGGGCAGAGAACAAACTGGCCCGGGTAGCCACTTATGGGTCATTGCTTCTCCTAGAGGTGGGGCTTAATCTTATTAGATGGAAAAGGACAGGAAGGGCAGGCAAGAAAACCAAGCATCCAATTTGCATAGGGCAGCTGCTCAGGGCCAAAGATGAAGGCAGGAGAGAAGGTAGAGGAATAGGAAAAGAATGGAATAAGAAGGCAGGAGCCCCTGAAGCAGGGCTGTCCTATACAGCTGCACAGGCCGTGCACTGCACAACTGCAAGGGAGGCCACTCAAGACTATCCTGGGGTTGTATGATAGGTGACTCTGGCTGGCAGATAAAGGGGAAAGAAGGGAGCTTACTGAGATCCAGACCCAGAGCTGACGCCTGTTTCCATCACCATCCATGGACCTCACAAGGTCATATGATGGGTATCATTAAGGCTCAAGGAGAAAATGTGACCTGTTGAGACCCCCATTAGTTCTAAAGCCCCACGCTCTGAACTTCCAGTCCAGCATTCTTTTTTTTTTTTTATTGTTAGTTTCAGGTGTACAGAACAATCCAGCATTCTTGGAAACCCCAGAGGCTGGAGTCCTCTCTGGACCCGCCTGGCAGGCTGGCTGCACTGTCCTTGGAGGTGCATGTGCCGCCTACCTGCTAGGGAGTTCAGATCAAGAAGTTTGGCTGTCCTGGGCCTTTCTTGAGGCGACACAAGCTGCCCGTGTGGAACAGTAAATCCCCTTTAGGTTTAAACTCAGGATGAGCCTAGATGAATCCTTGGGGGGTGGGCGTGGAGAGGGTGAGAGGAGGAAAGGAGTGTTGAGGGAAACCAATAGAAGCCAGACAGAGAGCTGCCCCTCCACACGTCCCTGAACAAGGTGCCAGAAGGCTTACAAAGGGCAAAGAGGCCAGATGGGTGGGGAGATGCCCCTCTCTTCCCAAGGCTGTGGGTTCTGTGGTTTCAGTTCAGCTCCCCCAACCCCCTACGCTACTGTGCTGCTCTCCACCATACAGCCCACTCTCCCAGACCCCCTTCACAGGGGGTCTTCTATCGACATCCCATTCACATAGGTGTCAGGCTGCCAGTTATACGAACTGTTACCACAGTTCCCAAGGCCCCTCTTGACTTGCTGCTTTCTTTCCCGTCTTCTTCCTTGGTGTCACTTGGTCAGTGGAATGTGGGGAGGGCCAGGGTTTTCCACCCCGCCCTCCCACCTGCTCCAGAATGAAGTTCCTGAAGAGCAGGCTCTGTCTTCCCTTCAGGACAGACTTGGGGTCCTGAGGCCCTTGAGCAGGCTGCTAACTTGGGGGGCCCCTCCTGCTGTTTTCCTGCTCTACCCTCAGCTAGGACTGGCTGTACCTATTAACACAGCCATGGTGGACCCCCACACTGCTGAGCCTGGTGCTCTGGAGCTGCTCTCTTCAGGGAGGAAGCTGAGGCAGCTCACAGGCGCGCTGGACAGCAGCCAGCTCTAGCAGTAGTGGCCTCCACCCAGGCTGGCACCCGCAGCACTCATTGGTCCACAGCCTCGGGAGCACTGGCCTGTCGCCTGTGAGGTCCTGGGTTCTCTTTGAGGGGTCTGGCGGTGCGTGGATGCCGGCCCTTGGAGGCCATGGCTGCGGTGGAGGGAATTTCTGGGCCCCCTCCTCACCTGCTGCAGTGGCACAGACATTGCAGGACAGACCTTGAAGGACAGGCCTTGCATCTGCCCTGGTGGGACCGCAGAGCACGAGGGCTGACGCAAGGCGGGAGGGAAGCAGGCAGTCATCTAAGTTCAGGAGAGGCAAGACTTCCAGCTGATGTCCAGGGAACTCTTGCCAAACCTTCCCTTCCCGGATGCTGACTTCCGAGCGCTAATTTGGCTCCAGCTCGGCTTCCAACTCCAGTATTGAGTGTGTGGCTTCATCTGATTTTCTGGCCAGAGATACAGCACAGGGCACAGGAAGGGAAGGGGCTACCTCTGTGGCAGCAGAGGCTGGATGTAGGGAGCCAAGAGCCATTGTTTTTAGCTTTTTACAGCGTTGATCTAGCATTTTAGAAAAAAACCAATGATGACAAGCGATGGTGACAAGCGATCACGCCTTATGTTTACTGGACACCGTTGTGTATCAGGCAGAAGGCTTTTTATTTGTATTATTTCTTTTAATCCTCCAAATACCTATAAGGTAGATAGAATTATTTTTCCCTATTTTACAGATGAACCAACTAGAGCAAAGAAACCTGCCCAAGCTTAAGCTGCCAGGAAGTGGAGGCAGGCCTTGAACCCTGGCAGCCTGGCTCCCGAGCTCTGATTCCTAACCACCCTGCTGGCGTCCCCTCCTCTCCCCTTGATGAGCAATTACCCTGGATCTGCGTGGAGTGAAGCGCTTTCAAAGTGCTTTCACACACCAGCTCCACACAGTCGTCCTCACCCGCTGAGCTGAAGTTCTCTGCAAGCACCTGCCTCCCCTACAGAACTGGACACTCCCGGGGCAGGGGCTATAGGAACTTCAGACGCAACCAGGGTCTGGACCATGGTAGGTGAGGGAAGTAAAGCAGATTTTGATGTCGCCATTTTACAGATGAGAAGCCTGAGGCCAGCTGTCTCTGGAGCTACAGTGGACCTGACCTTGTCCGCTGGCCCCTGCCTAGGACTACCCTGCACAGCATATGAGGCAGGGCCAGCTCGCGAAGGGACAGCAAGGCCCTGGGGGCCTCTCTCCTGGTACCAGAAAGAACACAGCACGGAGCCAGAGCCAAGTGTACCGGGTGCCTCGCTTACCTCGGCTGATCCTCTGCTTCTCCCCAGAGAGGATCCCCGGCGTGTCGATGATGCTGATGCTCTCCAGCACGGGGTTGGGCAGCTGGGCACACACAAACCTGCGCAGATGACAGGAAGCCCACGGTGAGCCACTGTCCTCTTGTTGCCTCTCATGCACCCCTGTTCAGCTGCAAGCCCACCTTCCCTGCCCTGGGCAGAGGTTCAGACGCCTGGCTGCCTTGCAATGCAGATGCCCAGGCCCCAGGTTAGCAGTGGGCCCAGGATCTGTACTTTGAGGAAGCTCCCTGAGTGGCCCTGAGGCAGCCATGGTCCTATGTTTCGAAGCCCTGCTGTCAGGGACGCCTCCAGGAGCACATGGGCAAACAGAATATGAGGTGCGATGGGACCAGCACCCCGAGGGAGGTCAGGTGAAGGGCTCAGGAGATCCAAGGTAGAGAGATGGCTTCTAGCAACAGCTTCCTAGAGGAGACGGCACTGGAGCTGGCCTTGATGAATGGGTCACACCACCCAGAAACATTTATTTGGGTTTTCAAGGGCTCTCCAAATGCCAAACTGTGCTATTAGGATAGCCGTCAAACCTTATTCAAGGAAATTTGTCTAGTGCTACATCCTGAAGTCTCAGGATACAAATTGGTAAACCTAACTTAGATCCTTCTTACTTCAAGTATTCTCTCTTATATGCCATTTTTGGTGGACGCTAAATAGGTGTCCTACTCGCCCAAGTATATTATGAGGTCCCACAGTCTCAAGGAACAGGCAGGAAAAGGAGTCTCTGCTACTCAGTGAGAAGGCTGCAGGGTCTGCAGGTTAGGTGAGGAGGCCAGGGACACCTGGAAAAAGGGGGTTGGCGAGGGTTTCACGGAGGAGGCAAAACTTGAACTCAGTCTTCAAAAGATGACCAGCATTTACCAGGCAGACAGGGGTGGGAGAAAGAAGCCAGTGTGTGTGGGGGTGTGGGGTGTGGGGGTGGATGGGTGATGGAGAGAAGATAGCATTCCAGATTGTGAAAGAACACTTATGGGTTGAATCGTGTCTCCCAAAAAGATCTGATGAAGTCCTAATCCCCTGTAGCTCAGAATGTGACCCTATTTGGAAACAGGTTTGTTATAGACATAATTAGTTAAAATGAGCTCGTACTAGCGTGGGGTGGGCACCTAATCCAATATGACTGGTATCTTTTTTTCCAATTAAATTTATTGGAGTGATATTGGTTAGTAATATTATCTAAATAGCAGGTGTAGAATTTCATAATACAACCAATTATAAGACAGAAGAATGCCATGTGAAGACACAGACACACATGGAGGGAAGACAGCAATGGGACGATAGAAGCAGAGGTTGGAATTTTGCTGCCACCAGCCTGGGGCAACCAGAAATGGGGAAAAGGAAGAAAGCATCCTCCTCTAGAGTCTTGAGGCAGCAAGGCCCTGCCAACACCTTGATTTCAAACTCTGGCCTCCAGAACTATGAGACAAAACATTTCTGTTGTTTTAAGTCACCCAGTGGTAATTCCTTGTAGCAGGCCTAGGTAATTAATACAAGTAGGTACAATGGCAGCACAGAAATACGAGACAGAGAGAGAGAGAGAGAGAGAGAGAGAGAGAGAGAGAGAGAGTGAGCCACCATTCCCGGAGGTACACACATCATTGAGGCAAGAATGGGAAGGCTGGAGTGAGCAGAGATGAGGCTGGACGGGGAGGTGGGGCCCAGATCACGAGGGCCTTAAAGTCACATTAAAAAAATTGTATTTTATACTGAGGGCAGTAGAAACCCATTGGAAGGCTTTAAGCAAAAATGTGACACAATCAGATATGATGGTTGTCAGTATATCCAGTTCAATTCAACAAATATTTGTGGAGTGCCGGCTATGTGCCTGGCACTCTGCTAGATAATGGGGGTAGAAAAGTCAGTGGCACGGCCCCCATCTCATCGAAGCCCATAGTTTCCATTATGTCTGAACCCCAGCCACATTCTGGTCTTTAGGTTCTATGGCACACCCCAGTTTCCTAAAGTAATTCCACATTTTGCTGAAGCTAGCCTGAACAGGGGTCAGCTTCAATTGCTGACCGGGTGATCGTGTGCATGAGGCTAGTGTTTGGTGACAGGGCTGTGGTTGAGTTATCACCCAGCCAGAGTGTACGGAGTGAGAAGGGCAGGGAGGGGGATGAGGATGGCCTGACTGATGGCGACACCAAGTCATAGGAGCCAGAGAAGAATGGGCTCAAGAGGAGCCTGGAGAGGGCCTTGCCAGGGAGGCAGGAGGAAGGCCACGGAGCTGAGAGGGGACCGTGGTTGAGACACAAATACCAAAGCGAGGTGGGGTAAAGGTGGAGAGTGCCCACTGCTTATGATCACTAGACGGTCACAATGACCTTTGCATGGGCAGGTGTGTCCAAATTAAAGCCATGTTCCACAGGTTGGGGGACAGGAAGACGTTAGGAGGTGAAACCAAGAAACTTAGCTGTGAAAGGAAAGCAAGAGGGTAAGAGTTAGTAGGATCTGCTGAAGGGTTTTCAATAGGAATTATTTCCACATGGAGGGGAGGCGCCAAGGGTTAGTCAAGTGGTCAGAAAGAGAAGGAATAACTGATGGAGCAGGTCCCTGAGAAGATGTCCCGGAGCACAGTACAGGGTAACGCAGGAGTTAGAACTTCCGAGGAAAAGAGAAGCCACAGCTCACTGCATACTGGGTGGAAGGAAGTGAGGACAAAGGCAAATGAACTCAGTTTATGGACTGACTAGAAAAACCAAATAGATGGACTCCGTGGACATTGGCTTCCATTCTCTATAGAAAGGGAACAAGGTAATCTGTGGAAAGAGAAGGAGGCTGAGGTGATTGGAGAGGGCTGGGAATTCCCACAGAGAGGGGCAGGGGAACTGACAGGGGATGTGACATAAGATCACTGGGTGGCACTGAGATGGGAACCAGGCATCTGGGGTGCAGCCTCCTGTGTGTGGCTGCAGAGAAACCCGCAGCTCACAGAAGGAAGCTTGCCCCATTCCCTGTTGTCCTTGACAGGGGTCTGCCTGACAGATCCCCAGCCAACAGTCAGTGTAAACATCCGCCATCTATCTCAGTGGTTGCGTACTCCTGAAGAGAAGCACAGACTTGACAAAGTTCTGGTTATAGGGTTCCTGCTTGTATGTTTTTTTTTTCCCCAGTTTTCTATACCTAGGATATCCTTTTTTTTTTTTACCCTTTCAGTGTCACATCAACCATCATTGAACACCCATGTCAAATGCCAACTTTTCCATAAGGGCCACATCAGTCCTCTTGCCCTGGAGGAGTATAGTACTATTATCCTGTTTTATAGATGGGAAAAGTGAGACACAGAGAAGTGAGATAATTTGGGGCTAACTGGTAGGCTTTCAACCCAGGTCTGTTGAAGCCAAAGCCCATAGTATTTACCTTTACTCTAATTAGAGAAAGTAGTTTTGAAATTTTAAAGTGCAATACGCATGCAAAATTGTAGTGTGGAATTATATAAAAAGTGCAATCAGGGGATCGGCCTGCATTTTAGTGAAGCAGAATAATAGCACAAAGGCCCAGATCAGCTTGCCAAGCATTCCCGAGAGCTTTCTTCACTCAAATCATCACAATGACTCTGGTGTCTGCAAGCTTTGACTTGTCCCAGGGAAGGGGAGGTGATCTGTCTGAGGCCACACAGTGAGTTCAGTAGAAGAGTCAGTGCTCAAACTCAGGGCTTCCATCTTAAGCCCAGGGTTCTTTCCACTAAGTAAAAACAATGTCAGGAACGGAGAAGAACTTTCTTCTGCCTCCTTCCAGTTGCATGCAAATTCATGCCGTAGCACAGGCAAAAGCTGGGAACTAAACAGTGCAGCCCTCTCCACTTTCATTGGTGGGAGGTGCAGTTAGTTATGGGGGATGTGATTCAACTTGCTATATACCCTTCCCTGCTCCTTGTTCAGGAGGAGTCAACCTAGTGATTGCAGCTCCCACATCACTAATCAATGGTGACTGACTCAGTTAAATTCTCAGCAAGAATGGGACAATCAAGACAGACTCTAGGTATGGAAAGGCACTGAGCCTCCCAAGACCCTGCCCCATCCTTTCCCTTCCCATACTCCAAGAAGAAGAAAAAAGGACAGTCAGGGTGTGTATTCCTTCTGCACTCACCTGTTCAAGAAGGCATTGCCAAAGGCGCTGAGTTTCCGGAAGGGCTTCTTAGGGTCGACCACCAGGGCGTTCCCGGGGATGATCCCGTCCACCTCGCCCTGCATCACCGCAATGAAGGAGTCGGTGGTTGGCTCGGGCCCAATCCTCATGCCTGGGAAATCCTGTTCCAGCAGGTACCTGGCAGAAGGGAGCACAGTCATAACACAGAGATTCTGCTGGTAGATCAACACTGCGTGTATCAAATCTGTTTTCTTGATTTTTATCTTTTTCCCTCCCTGAATCAGTAAGGACAAAAAAGAAGCAAGGTTTGGGTTCAGAACTAAAGCATGGGTTGAAACTGGGTTCCTAGACAGAGAGTCCTGCAGACTTCACAACTGAAGGTAGCCTGCTGACGGACCCACACAAAAGCCAGCTAGCATGAGATCACCCATGGCCTCTGCTCACTTTCCATAGGTCATTATTTATTTATCTGGTTAGTCAGTCCTTAAATATAAAAATAGCTCATACATGAGACAAAATGCAACCAGTGTGATGGGTACACTATGAAAAGTGGATCTCTACCTCCTAGACTTTTGGTCTCTAGGTGGCAGGTCCCTTTCTTTGCTCTTCTCTTGGCCTGGGCAGTGAGAGCCCAAGGCCACCGCCCCTCTGCAGTAGCCCCTTTTAGAAGTCAAGAGAAAAGGCACATGACAAGCCAGAGAATGAAGAGAACAGCCTGTAAGGACAACTGAGTCCTTTAGAAGGAGCTCAGAATAGCTTTGAGCACAAACAGCATTAGGCTGGATTCGGGGGAGGAACCCAGGACGGCTTTGGGTTGGGACTGGCCAGAGGAGAGGTCCAGGGTGTCTTCCAAGATCATGATGGACAAATAGCCAAGAGACATGTTGACCAACAAACTCAGGCCCATGGGGGAAGCCCTCACTGTTTGCTGAGAACCTCCTATAACTTGAGGGCCCATATTTATGCTCAGAGGGAAAAGCCATGGTGTTCTCAGGAGAAGAGAGGTGAAGTCAGACACTGTTAGTTGGGAAGGGAGCCTGGAGACCTCCTGGACCAGTGGTCCTCAGCCCTGGCTGCACATCCGAGCTATTGTAGAGTTTTAGTTACTGCTGCCTGGGCCCCACCCCCAGAGGTTTTGACCCATTCGCTCAGGGGTGGGGTCCTGGCACACTGGTCCTTTTTAGGTGTTTCCCCATAGAGCTAATGTGCAGCCAGGGTTCAGAAGCTTCTCATTTGACTGATAATACCACTGACATTCAATAGCATTTCCACATGCCAAACATTACATTAATCACTTTGGGAACATTATCTCCTTCAGGCCTCTCAGCAGCCCTGTAGGTAGGTATTGAGGAAATCGAGGCTCAGAAGGGTTATATGGTTTTCTCCAAGTTAAATAGCTAATAGTGGAGCTGAAACCCAGACCCATATCAGTCTAACACCAAATCTTTTGCTCTCTGTCTTCCACCCTGAGGAAATCACTGCCAGAGAGAGCTTATCAAGGCCCCACAGAAGATCAGGGCAGAGCTGGGACTGGAGGCCATGTCTCCAGGGTGCAAGCACTCTGCCACCCTATGCCACCCCAAGGTGGGCCTGGAGCAGTGGTCCTGCTCTGCCCACAGGATGGTGGCCAGGGAGACTTGCTGGGGTTTCTCCCGGGTCATGGACATCCTGCTTGTGCCTCGAAGAAGCATTCTGAGCTGTTAATTGACTCCGTGGCTCAGGGCAGCTTTAGTTGAATTGCTATGGGCCCCTCTCCAGGGAGCCGGCAGAGGAACTGCTGCCACTGAGCACTGCTGCTCAGGCCACCCCTGCACACCGGAGAGCTTTCGGTTGTCTTGGGAAGTCCTTCATTTCTCTCCAGGATCCAAGCCCAACAATCTGGGTGTGAAGGCAGGATTTCCTCCATCAGAGGACCATTTTGAAATCTGGCACTTGGGCTATGGATGAGGATACATCACTACAGCTGCACACACTTAGCACTTCCTGCTTTCTCAATGTGCCTTTTCCTTCAGGGCCTCATGGGAAAGGCAGGGAATCTCAGCAGCCTGGGGCCGGCAAACCTGGTTTCTCTTCAGAAGGCCTCTGCGAACCTCAGTACCTTCCTCTAGACCATGGGAGATAATAGCTCCGGTTTATCAAGCACCTGTGATATGCCAGGCACTGCTCTAGACTTTCCACGGAGTATCTCATTTCATCTTCACATCTACGCTGAGGTGAGTGCTATGTTCCGTATCATCAAAGGGGCCTAATACGAAAACCCATCTCATTGAGTATTCTGAATGTTTAAATGAGTTACAGACCTTAAGCACTTAAACCAGTACCTGGCTAGCATCCCATTTTAAAGAAGAGGGGGAGGAGGTTAAAGTATTTACCCCAGGTTATGCAATCAGTAAACAGCTGAGCTAGGATTTGAACCTGGCACTTGGATTTTATCACTTAGGCTCCTAACCACTACACTTACTGACGCCTTTCCTGCCTGAGATCCCCCTTGACCAGGAAATAACAAAAGGGTTGAGCCCCACATGGGACTAGAATGAGGAATGGGAGAAGGCCACAAAGGAAAGTGGTTTGGCAGGGGGAACAGCTAGGCTTTGGGGTCCACAAACCCAGCGATGCACTCATCTCCATACACATCTGTCTTTGGGGTTCCCATCTAGGCCTCAATGAGTGGTGTATGGCATGCAAAACTGTTGCTATTGGGTGACCTGAACAGGCCCTAGGCCCACTGGCTCTAAAATGACATTCTTGGGGCTTAAAAATAGTAGGGCGAGATTCCCCTGGGAAGAAGTTGCATGAGAATCAACATCATGCCTGGGAAACCCCATCCATTCTGCCTGTGTGCTGGGAGCATCTGCCCAAATGAGCACCTGGGTGAGAGGCCTTAAGCAGGGCCCTGCAGGGTGGGTGGCAGGAGCTGGGTGGTGGATATCATCAAAGGCTTGAGGGAAAGCTGACATAGAGAGAAGTGGAAACAATTCTAAGGCAGCCTGAAAAGGGCCAAATGGCAGTGATGAAGTATCTTCCTGACCCAGGCTTCTCAGGTTCCACCCGAGAGACGCGCTGTACCAGCTGATGAACAGAGGATGACGCTTCCCAGCATAACAGGGCTACTTCTCAGGATGTTCTAAAGCTGCAGCCTGAGTTTGCCCGAGCAAAAGCCTGGAGGCTGGCCTGCTGTCCTACCCTCTAGGTTAAACCCACATGACCCCAAATTTGCTGACCACACATAGGTCTGGAGAAGCCACCAGTATGTTCAGGGACACAGCTGAGCCAAGCCAAGAACTGGAGCTGGGTAAATTCTCAAGGACATTTGGGTATGGCTTGCAGCACTGAGTGCCCCCTTAACAAAGCCACTACTGTGTCCAGAAAGGACAACCTATTGGGAATCTCATCACCGCTTCTCAATGGGAAGTGATACAAATCTCCTCTGTTGCCAGGCGAAACCATTCCCATAGCAGCAGAAACAAAGAAAAGTTAATTCAAGCCTGGGTGGGAAAGCACAAGGAAAAGGAGGGACACAGCAGGCTGTCCCCTGTGTGGCAGGTACTGTTCTGGGAACTTTACCTGGATTATTCTACTGCATCTGTCCTACAAGCACCGTGGGATGGTAGCATTCAGTTTTGCAGGATAGTAAATTCAGATATAGGTTGCCCAAGTTCAGGGCCAAATGCAAATATTTAATGGCACTAAGAGCTGAAAAGATTTTGGTGTGTCCCCTGCTCCCCTACCCCACCATCCAATGCAAAATAAATAACATTTAAAACCATCAGATAGGTGTAAGGAAGGCCAACACAACTTTGATTTTTCCCATGAGGATTAGTTTTCTGCATATTTTTCTTCAGCAAATTATTTCATGACATTTCCTGTTCGTTTTGTTTTGTTTGTGTATGTGTCCTGCTTGCCTGGCAATCTAAGCATGTGGTCTGCTTTACTGGTGATCTAAGCACCCAGGATAAGGCGTGGAGCCAAGAATCTCAACCCAGGCTGCCTCCAGGGTACCTATCTCCGCAATGATGGGGCCAGGTGTCAGGCTGCAGCCGGGACAGCACCCAAGGCAGGGGAACAGAGGGGCCAGGCTGCACAAACAATACTGTCAAGGGCTGGGCCCCCTGCCTCGGCTCAGTTGGGGAATACACCTTCACAAGTGGCTGCTCTATCACAGATATGACCTCGGGCACGTCTACCAACAGCCCACTGGCTCAGGTTTATAAAATGGGGATAATACTTCGTTTCTGACTAGCTCAGAGGGACAGAGTGAAGGTTTTGCAATGCTATCCATGAGTTTGGGGAAAGAAAAGGCTACACCAAGACATTTGCTCATATAGACAGAGACAAGAATTAGAGAAAACAAATACCTCATTGTTGCCTGTAAGTACTCAGTGCATTACCACCTAGTGTACAAATCCACTCCCAATGTCTCCTCCGTGAAGTCTTAACTGATTAATTACCACCTCATTCCAACCCCACTTAAACCTGAATAGCTCTTAATTTTCCTACCTTTAGTCGACTCTAAAATCATATGACTTTCTGCCTTGTGTCATCGGTATTCACGCTTTATGTCTGAATCTTTGGTCTCAGGTACTTCAGTTTTAAAACGGAGTCCAAACAATAATTGCCCGGTCAGCCTCACAGGGGTTTACGGAGGCAGGAAAGCACCCCAAGACACAAAGTAAGGGAGTAGGGAGACCCCCCTATGGTGGAGCTGAGGTCTGAGTAAGCTCTGTGCTCCCCAGAGCACCCACCACTGTTTCTGGTGCAGCCACCTCCGCCATGGGATGAAGTGACCTCAGCACAAAGGATACCAGTGGACGGACACACTGACAAGCCTCCCACTTGCCTCCCCTTGTCTGAACCCACCCTGTGACAGGCCAGCTGCCTAGTCCACTCTGCAGCACTGCCCACAGAGTCCCACGCATGCTCCTCCTCCAGCCCTCCCAGCACACACTTCCTCTTCCTCTTTATCCAAACTGTGGGTGGTGCCGGACAAGGGCTGCCCCACCTTCTGAGGGCAGCCTCAAAGCCTCTTCTTAGCGAATCAGCTAGAGAGAGGAGAGGACATGATAAGCCCCAAGCACAGTGCCTGGCACACAACTGGAGCTCCTTTGGTTCTTTCCCTCCTATCCCTGAGAGTAACCCTATGAGGTAGTTGTTATTATTCCCATGTTAGAGATAAGAAAATTGAGGTTCAGAAGATTCAGATCTGGCTTTCAAGGTCTCTTGGCCAGTACCTGGTGGAGCCAGGATTGTGCTGAGCCGGCCATGTTCTTCCCATGGCCTGGTCCCACTGTCAATGGTAATGGGATGGAGCCCTTTCTCCAGAGGTCCTTCTCCTCCCAGTCAATGCTTCTCTCGATGACCTCCACACACCTGACTTTCAATGCAGATCTGAAGCTGGACCTGAGGCAGGCGGACCCAGCCTCACTTAGGGACCAGCAGATCAGAGCCCTGCCAGGAAAAGGACACCCACTGACCTAAGGGTGGGCAGGACAGAGGTGTTGCAGGGACTGTAGCTGGAAGGATAGACCTTGCAGAGGTCAGTAGGTCTACCTGGAATGGTGGCTCCTTTAGCTTGGCAGACAATCACCTTTCCCGGGAGGTGATCTGTAATGCCTAGAGTGTGGCCTGGGCGGTGGGGATGCCAAGGTGGTAATGAGAGAAAAAGCAGACGCAGGCAAATGCTGAGTCACCTTTGGGGAGGATTCAAACGGCCCCCGGAAGAAGTGGGGAAAGTTGAAAGGGCCAGTTGAGTAGGATCCCCCATGCCACCCTCACCCAGCAGCCCCATTATGTGCTCATATTTCAGTCACCCTTGCGATCAGCCCAGACCTCCCTGTGCAGACACAGATAGCTTGGCTCTGGCAGCCCCAGGTCCCACACCCGATCCCCAGTACTCTACTTCAGCTCTGCCATGGACCAGCCAGACCTTCCTTATGGCCCATGAGGGCACTGGGCCTTCCTCAGCCCCCGGAGAAGCCAGCTATTCACCTCTGTGACCTGGGGACCAAGTGGTGCAAGGGAGGCAGGATTCGAGGCTGCATGCCAGCGAGAGGAAGAAGAAAGGGAGCAAACAGCAGAGGCAGGAGGAAAGGCTGCCAGGGCCAGAGGGACACAGAGCTACTGTACTCCGAAGAGGCAGCCTGTGTTGGAGGGAGCAGCCACCAGGCCAATTTATTGTTTATTTTATTACTCTGGGTTGCCGGGCCTTAAGCCAGGGAAGTTATTTCAGGCGGAGATCGTAGCACATTAATTAGTTATTAGAAGAATGTCCTTTTCTGCAAGTTCTTCCTGAGAAAAGAAATAGACCCTGCGGCAAGTACATATAATTGAAAGTGGGTGGGCACTCCAGAGGCAAAAAAAGGCCAAGGGCTGGGGAATGAAGAGGAAAGTCTGTTCCTGAGAGAAAGACCCCTCACAGGTTCAGGCCGGGGATGGAGGGGAATCACCACACTCCAGGCAAGAAGCAGGGATGAGAGAGGGCGGACCGGCGAAGGCATGCTGAGATATACACCCGAGCACCTAGCTGCCCCACGCCGAGCCTTCTTTGCTTTGGGGAAGGGGTGTTGTACCAATTTATCCCCTTGGGAAGCAACTCAGAAATATGGCTCTGAATACCAAAATTAAAAAGTAAAACAAACAAATAAAAACAACTGCACAACCTTTGGCCTAGTGATTTCACTTCTGGGAATCTCTGATACAACAGTCCAATTTGTGTAAAAATATTATGCACAGAGATATTCAGAGCGATTCTACAATAGGAAAAGAAAAGAAAAAAGAAGAAAAGAGAAGAAAAGAAACAACCTAAAACATTAAAAAAAAGTAGACTGGTTAAATGAATAATTGCATATGCATACAGCGAAATGTCATGCGGCTCTCAAAAATAATGCTTACAAAGAGGTTTTAATTTACATGGGAAATGTTCATTCTATAAGTGAAATAAGTCAGCATACAAAATTACATTATGACATGATCTCAACTGTGTTATAAAATAGCGAAAAGTGCTGGAAATTATATATATATATATATATATATATATATATATATATACACACACACATTTATATACACTCATATATGATATTTAAATTTGTTTCTCTTGAGTTGTTGGATTATGGGTGATTTTTTTCTTCTTCCTCAACTTTATTCTTCTCTGAATTTTCCAATTTAAAGAAAACAACTGTTCAGTGGATTTAATGAGAAAGAAGGAAAGTATGTAATTTGATTTGGGAAGGCTTCCCTGTGCTACAACCCCTCCTACCTTGCTGGTTCACTCTCCCTCATGGGGAGACAGCTTTTGATGCGTGAGCTAAATTCAGTTACTGACATGAGTGGGGAGAGAGAGAACTCTTGTACTTGGAGGATAAGAAAGAGGAGGGATCTGCCTCTTCTGGCCTTCCTGTTTTCCTCAGATAACAATAATTTAAGGCAACTCAATCCTGCCACTTTCTTAGACCCAATTAACAGCCAGCATGACTCAGGCAAAGCCAGGAGTGTCTCAAACAAGAGGCACTTAAGCCTGTCTGCAGCTCAGGGATCCTGCCCCCAGGGACACTTGCCTTTCCCCCACCTACCCTCCCATTCTGCAAAGGTATAATGGGAACTTCCTGTGGCTGAGACCCCCAAAGAGGCCCCCAGGAGCTAAGGCATAGTTGTAAATGCTGATGTTGCAGGAAGAAGCTCTAAATAACAGAGGTGTGTCCAGAGGACCAGGGAAAGTTATGCAAGGGCAGGAGCCATCTGTACTCGGCCTGAATTTCTGATAGGGCATAATCCAGGCCAGGCAGAGGACACGGATTACAAAGGAGACCTTGTACAGAACCCAGGTAGCTCTGGAATGTCTTTAGCAGCAATGGGTGTTTTAATAAAATAAAGGAGATGGTTTAGATCAGGGTTCTCACCCTAAGATCCAAGGCGGCCCTTGGATCTTATTTGTAAATAAAAATTTACAAATTTATATGTAAATTTGGGATGTATGTCTATTTTTCTAAAGATAGTTCCACCGCTTTCATCAGATTTTCAAAGGAGATATTGATCTTTTAAAAAGTTAAGCAATGGATTAGTTTCATAGCTAAGGGCCCTTGTAGTTTTAACAATATAAAAGATCCAAAAGCCAACCCGTCCATCCACCCGCTTCCACTCCCCCCACCTGGGTACCAAACTTCTTCAGAAATCACTCAGGCCTCTCATAGCTGCTGAGCCCAAGACGGTCCACCCAACAATGGCAAACTTGATCTGGTGTTCTCTTCAGATACGAAATGTTAGTGTGGGGCACGCCTGGCTTCCATCAGGGTTGTGTTACAAGCTTAGTGTTAGAGAAGATTCGTGTATAGAAAATCAGTAACCAGGCTGTTAACTTTGCTGCTTTTCTTGCCGAACAAAGCGCAGTGCTTTGAATGTTGCAGGTGCTCAGTCAATGAATGGAAGCTAGAGCATCCCAGCTTTAAAACCTGCAGGAGATGCGCACTGTGGACTTTGAGGGGACCACTGAACCAATCGCTACACTGGAGGAGCCTGACTCTCAACACAAAGGAGGAGCACAAGAACCCTCAACAGCTTGGCAATGGCTGTAAACGAGGCCAAGCACAATGGCCTGGCCTTGAAGGTTGTGTGGACTGAGGACTGGAGAGACGCCTGTGTTCTAAAGATAGGAAGGATTCTCATCCCTCTGCTGGATAATATGCGGACCTCTCTGAATGCAGGGTGGACAGGCTGACTTCTTCAGGATCTCTCCAGCCCAAGGATTCCACAATTCAAGGGAATGGATGACTCATCATCACAGTTACAGGCATTTAGCCAAGCATCTCCTCCCGTGCATCTAAGACCAGCATTCCAGGTTGGCTTCCCACCCAGTTATATGACTCTGGATAATGCATTTAACCTTTCTATGCCTCAGTTATCTCATCTGTCAAGTCAAGGAGCTGCATGAGACAATCATCAATATCCCTTCCACATCTAAAAGACTTCAATATTATTACCAAGCCATTAAGATCAAACAAGGGAAAAGAAAAAAAGCATTCTGTTCCTGAATACTGCTTCTGTCCAGTCTTCAAAAGATATGTGTAGGAGTTTTGCTCAGAGAAGGAAACTGATAAAAAGACAACTGGCACTACCAGGCAGGGGGCCACAGGGTCCCCAGCCCACCTCCTCAGCTGCGACTGTAAAGCCCCCATATGAGTAGCTGAAGCTTTTAAAAGGCAAGGGAAGTGGTCCTGGCCATGAAGGATAGGTCCCTAAAAACTGAGGGTGTAAGACACTCCCACCAGTATAAGGTACTCTTAGGACCAGAAACTTTCTCACTTGTGTCTCCTGGGCCTTGGTTTCACTATCCATCAAATGGGAAGAACAGGGATGGCTCCAAAATTTAACACTTCAAACTGACCACCTGAGTGAAGGGCTAACTACAGTGGAGAGGCACTAGATAGGAAGATAGGATGGGGTGGAGGACCAGCAACGAAATTCAGGGATACACACACACACACACACACACACACACACACACACACACACACACATTTTTGTTCAGAGCCCTCAAGTGAAGGCTGTCCCCAGGCAGGAGGAGGCACCGGGAGTGAAAGGAGGGCCTAAGTGCTGGGTGGCAGGGTGGGCTGTCTGGACGCTGGACCGGCTCACCTGATGAAGGTGGTCTTCCCAGTGGAGTACTGGCCCACCAGCAGGATCATGGGCTTGTTGTCGAAATCGGCATCCTCCAGGGCAGGCGAGTGAAACTCGTGGAAGCGGTAATGCTCTTCCAGGGGCATCAGCTTGCTCTTGTAGAGTTTCTTGAGCCCCTCGCTCACTGTCTGGAAGACCTCGGGGTCCTTCTTCCTGCGGTCGTCGGAACTCAGCCAGCTGAACATTGCGGCTGCCGCTCGCCCGTTGCGCGCAGCTCCAACAGGAGGGCGCGGAGCCCCGCGTGCCGGCGCCCTTGGCTCCTCGGGAAGATGCTCCGCAGGGCGGGCCCGCCAGTCTGGAGCCGCGCCGTCGCCTCACCCGAGCGCCAGGCTCAACTGCACCATGACCTGGGCGCGCGGCTCGTGGGTCCCTGGGGCGACGTCGCGGGGCCGAGAACGTGCTCTTCCCAAGCTCCTGGGATCCAGCCCAGCCCCTTCTTCATCCAACAACCAAGGCCGGAGGGAGGGAAAATATCTAGGCTGAGCAGGAGGGTTGCGATCTTGGAAATTAAAGTCAAACCTGGAATTAACTGCCAGATGCCGGAGTCCTCCCAGACGTCTGCTGCTCTGGCCCAGGTACAGTTAGGGGATGCTTTGGCCCTGCTCCTGCCTCGCCGGGTAGCTCAGAGGCGGCAGCGGCGCTTCTCAGCCCGCGGACAGCTCAGCATCCGCAGCCACAGCTCGCAGCCCCAGGAGCCGGTTTAAATGCCAGCCGTGCAGGAAGCCGGCTTGTGGAGGAAGTCCCCGAGTACTGGCAAGGCCAGCCCGGCCAGCGGGTCCCAGCGAGGAGAAGCTGAACAGGGCGCAGCCATGTTTATGGGCAGGCGCTCTGCAGGGGATCTGCGGCCTCTGCCTGGGAAGGGAGGGATGATGAATCCTGTGGGAACGCAGCTGGTGTTTCAATCCTGGCCTCTGGAGGTTTGATTTGGGAACAGCGCCCTCTCAGGGACAGCTGCGAAGACAGAGTTGACCTGCTCATCATTCTGCTTTGAAAAGGTCTTTCCTATGTTCATTGCAGTGCTATTTACAATAGCCAAGACTTGGAAATAACTGAAATGCCCATTGGTAGATGACTGGATTAAGAAACTGTAGTACATTTACACAATGGAGTATTACTCAGCTATAAAGAAGAAGGAAATCGTACCATTTGCAATGATATGGATGGACCTAGAGAACATTATGCTCAGTGAAATAAGTCAGTCAGAGAAAGACAAATACCATTTGATCTCATTTATATATGGAATCTAAAGAACTGAATAAACTAGTAATGAAAACAGAAATAGTCTCAGAGACACAGAGGAAAAACTGATGGTTGCTAGTTGGGAGTGGGTGGGGATGAAGGAGAAGGGGAAGGGATGAGACAATATAAACTGGCAACTACAATATGACCTCAAGGATAGAAAAGACAGTCTGAGGAATATAATCAACAATGTTGTAAATATTTTTTAGGGGGCCAGATGGACTCATGTCTTGTTAGGAAGACCACTTCATAGATAGTATAGAGGTTTGACCACCGCACTGTATATCTGAAGCTGATGTTGAATAATATTGTATGTCCACTATAATTATATATACATATAGGCATGGGATGTGGAGTAGAGGGTGGGAATGGAGTCAATGGAATTGTAATAGATAAGCATGACATTGGGGATGGGAGGGCAGTAGATGGGGAAGCGTTGTCACTTTGTGAGGGTGAAAAGGATAGCTATTGCATTGTTTTGTACACCTGAAACATATAATAATAAAAATAAATTAAAAAAATAAATTAAAGGTCTTTCCTTTAGTTACTGAGTTCAATTCCTTAGGAAGACAGGTACTCTAATATTTGGGAATATTGTGGTGGGGTGAGGGGTGGGGGGGACGGACGGAAAGAAGCATTCAATACGAGGTTACAAAATGACCAGAACTGTCACTACCCAAACTTCTTGCTAGGTCTAGGGCGAAGTCAAAACCGTTTCCATTCATTCATTCCAATAAAACAAAACAAGTAAATGCCCCCAAGTATTGAGCCAGTACTATAGGCTCACCAATTAATTAAGTGCTTGCTATGTGCAGGGTCCTGGGCTAAGCTCTCAGTAAGCATTGTTTCATTTGACCTTCATGGCAGCTCTATGAGACAGACCAAATGATCTCCCAAATCATACCAACGAGAATTGGGGTGGAAACAATTGGCCAGGTATAGGCAAAAAGGGGTGCATTGTCTGTAGGGAACTTAAATGCAATAATAAAACCAAGTCAAAGTCAGTCTGCTTTATATTAGCACCATTCTCAACAGTGTCAGTGATAAAATCCTCCTCCTTGCCAAGGCAGTTGGCTCCCATACACTCCTTTCCATAGATGAGGAAACAGAGTAGGCTAATGGTCCAGGCGGGACTGCTAACGCTGGTAACAGTGCCGGGGAGGGACTGCAGGAGCAAAAGAAGCTGGAGGCCAAGAGACCAGCTAGGACACTATTCAAAAATTTAGGAGACAGTGGTAATTGGGGTGGGGAAAAGGTCATATTCATGAGATTTATTATGGCCTAGAAATGACAGATCTTGGTAAGCAATCAAAGAAAGGAAATAAGGATACTTAGGCAGAGTCTAGGATGATTCTGAATTTTGTACTGTAGGGGAGAAGGTAGTTGGAGACACTGTTCTCCCAATTAGGGGAGTCAGGAGGAGAGCAGATTTAGCATTAAAAGATGATGTGTTCAGGGCGGGCCCAGTGGCGCGATGGTTAAGAACTGGCTTGGGACGCTAGAGGGCCCCGGTTCGGATCCCACATGAGGGCCAGTGACACTGCCCTCTACAGCTAAGATGCTGAACAACAGCTCAACCTGGAGCTGAGCTGCTATGAGTTGCTGGGGACGGCGTAGGCTGCGTAGGCTGCAGCCCCTGTGGCAGTGGGTTGCCATGGGCTACCGTGTGTAGCCAGCAGCCAGCGTGAGTGGCCAGCAGCCGCCGTGAGCGGCCATCCAGAAGGCGGCGACTGATGTGCCTCACCTGGGAAGAGCGCAATGATGGTGCCAACTTGGACCAGTGAAGCAACATCCTCCACAACTAGACTGAAGAACAAAATGACAGCATCTTGTCTGTTTCCCTTCCCGCAATTCCCCAGCACTGTTCCCATCCCCCCAATTCCCCAATAAAAAAATAATAAAAAAGATGATGTGTTCAGTCTGAAACAAGTGTGATTGAGGTGCCTGTGGTAGCCCCAAGTGAAGGAGTATACTAAATGAAGCTGTGTGAATTTGGACAGGAATTATCAGAGGTGGGGGCTGGCTAGAATCTTCTTAGTTACTGCTCAGGTCTCCTAACTCCCACCTTGAACTCCAGATCTGATTTCCTCTTTATGAGCTCTCTGAACCCCTGGTAGAAACCACTCATCAATAATTCATCCTTGGTGTTTACATTAGCATTGGCATGTGAGCATAAGAAGCAACATTCAAAATATTTAACAACTCACATAACATGGGAATGGAGCAATCACAACAGACTCTTACCTTCCCAGTGGAATAGGGCCTAAGGCTCCAGCTGTGCTGGCTGTAGAGGTACAAAAAAGAGTGAAAAGATATTACAATACATAAACCCAACAACAGAGCACCCAAAATACATAATTAATGCCTGTGCCTTAATAAAAAACATTCCAATAGAAAAAAATTTGACAAAAGACACAAAAATTCCTTTTATAAAAGATGCTACATGAATGTGCTATAAACACAAGAAAAGATGTTAAATCTTGTTAGTAGTGTCTGGAACTTGGAGAGGCCTAGGTCTGTCCAAGGGGGGAGTCCAGGATGGCCAGAGTGCCAGGGGAGAAAGAGGGGCTCCACTGTGGAAATATTTCAATATTTTAATAACCAGTACAGCTATGGTATTGTGTACCACTGGATGTCAACCCCGGATATCTAATGTATTGAGTGCCTGCTGAAAAATCTATCTCTAGCTCTCAATTCTGAAGAGATGGAAATTTATCTTCTTTAAAAAAGAACTGAGTAATAATGTGGCATTTCTATATACTAGCAATAAAGACAATTTTTTAAAAAGATACCATTTACAAAAACTGAAAAACACAGGGCTATGCAAGACCTTTAAAAGTAAAATGATAAAACATAATGGAAAGACATTATAGAAGTTCTAAATAAGCAGGAGAGACACACCATGTTTAATTATGGTAAGATTCCATGTCACAGAGATGTAAATTCTTTACAACACAGTTGCTAGATTCAATAATCGATAGAATTTAAATTGAAATCTGAAAAGGGTTTTCCCTGGAAATTAAGAAGGTGATTCTAAAATGTGTATAGAATGATAGACCAAAAATAACTAAGATATTCCAGAAGAAGAAAGAAAAGTAGAGGAACTATATTCCTTATGCTATACCCTACATCCCCATGACTACTGTGTAACTACCAATTTGTACTTCTTAATCCCTTCCTCTTTGTCACTTACCCCCAACACTCCTACCATCTGGCAACCATCAATATGTTCCCTGTATCTATGAGTTTGTTACTGTTTTGTTTGTTTATTTTGTTCTTTAGATTCCACATATAAGTGAAATCTCATTGCATGTGTCTTTTCTGTCTGACACTCCACTCAGTAAAATATCATCCAGGTCCATTCATGCCACTGCAAATAGCAAGAATACATTCCCTTCCATGGCCGAGCAATATTCCCTTATTATGTGTACCACCTGCTCTTTATCCATTCTTCCATCGATGGACATGCAGGCTGCTTCCATATCTTGGCTATTGTAAACAATGCTGCAGCAAACATATGGATGCACATGTCCCCTTGCAGTAGCATTTGGGTTTCTTTAGATAAATACCCTGAAATGGGATTACTGGGTCTTTCATTGTCTCTTGTTATAGCCTTTGCTTTAAAGTCTATTTTGTCAGGTATAAATATTGCTACCCAGTTTTTTTGTTTTTTGTTTTTTTGTTTGTTTTCATTTTCATGAAATGTATTTTTCCATCCCTATACTTTCCTTCTGTGTGTGTCTTTCAATCTGAAGCGATTCTCTTATAGAAAGTATATGTAAGGATTTTGTTCTCCTATCCATTCAGCCCTCCTGTCTTTTGAGTACAGCATTTAGTCCACTTACATTGAAAGTAATTGTTGTAGCTATTGCCATTTTATTTTTAATAATTTTGATTTGTGTGTGTGTGTGTGTGTGTGTGTGTGTGTGTGTGTGTGTGTGTGCACGTGCATCTTAAAGAAGTCCCTCTAACATTCCTTGTAATACTGGTTTGGTGGTAATGAAATCCTTTAGCTTTCTCTTGTCTGGGAAGATTTTTATCTGTCCTTCGATTTTAAATGATAGCCTTGCTGGGTAGAGTACCCTTGGTTGTAGGTCCTTGCTCTTTATCACGTTGAATATTTGGTGCCAATCCCTTCTGGCCTGCAACTTTTCTATTAAGAAATCAGCGACAATCTCATGGGGCCTCCCTTATAAATTCTAGTTGCCTTTCTCTTGCTGCTTTTAGGATTCTCTCTTTGTCTTCAACCTTTACCATTTTAATTATAATGTGTCTTGGTGTGGGCCTCTTAGGGTTCATCTTGTTTGGGACTTTCTATGCTTCTTGGACTTGTATGTCTATTTCCTTTGCGAGGTCAGGGAAGTTCTCAGTCATTATTTCTTCAAATAGGTTCTCAATCCCTTGCTTTCTCTCTTCTTCTGGTACCCGTATGATACAAATGTTGTTACATTTCATGTTGTCCCAGAGGTGTCTTAAGCTCTCCTCATTTCATTTAGTTCTTTTTCTGGAGTTTTCTCCTGCACTTTCATTTGGAATGTATTTCTTTGTTTCCTCATTTTGGATGCCTCTCTATGTTTGTTTCTATGTATTAGGTAGATCTGCTATGTCTCCCAATCTTGGCTGGGTGGCCTTATGTAATAGGTGCCCTATGGGGC